AGTGCGACTAAATTGTTGACCCAGTAAATGCAATTCTGTGCAGTAGATGAACAGGAGTTAGTTATTTAAGCTACAATTAAGTAATATGAGAGGAATATCATGTGGTGTGCTGCGGGGTCCCGATTCCCCGGTGCTCCCGGCCGGGCCCCGTGCTGCTGGAGCATCCAGCAGATAGGAAGGAGCTCTCGTTTAACATTTAAACCTTTTTGTTCCTCATCTTAAGTGCACAGTGGAATTGATAGCATTTATTTGTGCGAAGGACTCTGAAGTGCTCAGATAAGCATGGTAAGGGAGGTCATGCAAGTATTGCATGTGGAGAGGTGATGGCTGCAGGAGTATGTGGGGAAATTCACCAGAGAGTAAACTTGTCCTCTGGCAGTAGCCAAAGAAAATTTTTTTAAAAAAAAAAGTATGCAATCTGATTTTTGTACAAAAATTGAAACTAAAGAAAAAAGTTTTCTTGAAAAAACAATAAGCTGCCCACTTTGCTGTGATTCGCAGAAAAAGGAAATTACAAATAGAATAAAAAAAAAAAGGAGGAATATGGTTTAAATTACTGAACTTTGCAAATGTAGTCACACATACATCAGCTCTCCACAGATAGCAATAATGGCAGCTTTTTAGTTCTGGGAAGTATCAGTGGTCAGGCTTTTTTAAAATAAAGTACATCCAAAGACGTTATTATATGTTTGTGTGAAGAACCACTTCTCACCAGGAATGGCCCAGCCTAGCTCAGTGTGTCTTTTTGTCCTCTGAGAACATGAGAAAGGCAATGAATTTTTGCAAGGCACTAGAACAAGTAAGCTCATGAATAGTGTACATTATGGCCCACATACTGCTGAGGGAACCTACCTTTATGATTTGGCAGATTTTCATTCATTATTTCCTTTAATTGCAAAGCAATTTTGTGCTAACAGACCAGCAGCTGCTTCTGTTTATCTGCAAGTTTTCTGTTTTTTTCTGTAACAGAGCTCTCTGTTAAATTTTATTTTTACTTACACTTGCAATATTACTATCTGTTAACACTTTTCTGGCATCTTTTTTAGTAGAAAATTATTAACTCTCCAAATATATGTTCAGCATCATCTAAGGATTTTGACATTTTTGGATGTGTCTAAGGGGACTTTGGATTTCTTGCTATTACTCAATCTCAAGTGCCATC